ACTGCAATGATATCATCAAAAAGTATATCTCTAATTTTAAAACCAAAATGAAGCGAATATACTAATACTGGAAATTTATTAATAGCCATTGAATTAAAACTATATATTGATAATTTATATAATATATTTATTTATTATGTAGTAGGGAGTGAGATACTGAAAAATACACAGTGAGATCATGTTTTCCATATCTAGTTATTTTCCAGACCTTTCCATATTTAGATATTTAGTATCGATACAATTTTTTGCTTGGGACTACATAATAAACAGAACATTACACGGTGGCTTGAAGATATGACTTTTATCTTCTCGTGTTAAAAACAATATTTTACTCACTCGCTGCGCTCGTTCGTAAAATATTGTTTTCACCACTCGAAGATAAAAATCATATCTTCGCGCCGCCGTGTAATATCCTCTATATAGTGCATGCACGGCCTATTGGAAGATCACCTTTTCTTTTTCCCTTCTTTATTTCTAATTAATATTTTTGTAAATAATTAATCTGGTGTAATAGTACCGTTTTTAATAGAGTCAATAAAGCGGGGGGTGTAGTATCGCATTTCCCAACAGGGGGCGGGGAAGGGGGTAAAAAAATTTCTTGTTAAATTTTTCGGTAATGTTCTCGTGATTTATCAAAATTATCGCCATAGCTATTACTTTTTATTCCGACCCACTCAAATATTTGCGCTGGCTAAGAAAACAACTTGCCGATAAATCCATTATTCTGCCGACAAGATGTTTCCAGGGGGGTGTCCCCCCCTCCTAGCGAGGGCCCTGCATGAATATGTATAGGTTATTGTGTGATAATTTAGGCTCTGCCAAATGCCATTTGAATTTGAATTTATTAAGTTTGCCAATAACATACATACCATGAATACATGCATACAAATATTACAAATGACTCTAACTGGCAGGGGTTGGATACAATAAAAATTATACATGTAAGACTATACTAAGTAGGTAGAATATAGGCCATATAGTTTTGCATTCATTATGTTAGTTTGTTTTCCACTTGTAATGGTGTATTGAAATATTGCAATATATTGTAGTGTTTTTTCCTGATGCATGCAATATATTGTAGTGTTTGAAGCTGCGCTCAAGAATGAGAATTAATGAGTCCGCGGTAGTCACGCATTCGGTTACAGGGGAACATTTCAAGCTCTGGATTAACAAAATAAAGGTTTGTTCAGTGTTCCAACTATGTTTTAACTTAAACAGAACACATGATAGTGTTGGGAGAGCATTAGGAACAGCTGACAAAGGTCGCGTGACTCCAATTCTCATGCAATCTCGTTCCAGGCTTGGCACGTAAACACAATATTTACAACAAGGAAAGTGGCCCTATATATGTTAATGAATCTGCCGCGATACGAAAATACTTGCTGTACGTATTTTTTGTTAACTAATTATAGCTGAAATAACCAGGGGCCGGTTGTATAAAAAAGTGATTAAAGTTTAACTATAGTAAGTGGAAACGTCATCCAATAGGCAGCGCATATCTGAGAGTTAATCACTATTTAACTACAAAATTGTGATTAAAAAAGTGATTAAGAGTTTTGTACAACCGGCCCCAGCGCCGTAAATATACGAAAACAGTTATAATACACGGTATTCTATGGTGCATGACTAATTATAGCTAAAATAACCAAAGCTATTAATATATATATATATATATATATATAGTAGTTTGGTTATTTTAGCTATATAAATATATATATGTGTGCCACATACTGTGGTACGAAACTATTTAGTAATAAAGATGCCTAGTGGATTTTGTTGATTTGTTGTACCTTACTATTAAATATGCTCTGGTTTTCCATTGAGCACTTTGCCAAAAGTTTTTATAACCAACAAAACCAAATTTTATTAGGTTTATAAACCTGCATGGTTTACTTCATAAGATTTTATTCACTATTCTTGTTTCGTATGACAAGCAATGTGTTGCCACACTCATCAGGTGAATTTAAATGTCGCGATATATATATATATATATATATATATATATATATATATATATATATATATATATATATATATATATATATATATATATATATATATATATACGAATCGTTAACTTTTATAACCTTTTAAGGAGGCTCCCTACAGTTGCGTGCGGGATGTTCGCGGGACCAGTACGTGAACTATCCAACGCAACCGCATGATCAAAACAAAACAAAAATTGACCACGCTTTTTTTAAGAATAAACCTATTTCTGAAAGGTTTCTAATGGGAAAGAGCTTGAATAATACTTCGTTTTTGAGCGCCAAATCACCTGCGAGTCTATACAGCAATTCTACATAATTATGATACGAATATCACTAGACCAAAAAATAACTACGAAACAATGTTTTTTAAATTTCTTAAAATATACACTGTCAACTGTAAAACATTTGCAAAATATTTGCATACAAACGTTTAAAAAGTTGTTTACTTCTCAAGAAAACGTTCACGTTTTTAGTCGTGTTTCTACAAAATTAAAGTGATTATATGTAAACAGAAAAATATTTCAGTGTCATAGCCTAATTGTTCATTTTTAGCAAAAAGTACAAAACCAAACATGAAATGAAAAAAAAAGTCCACCTGTTAATAGGTTGTTACAGCTCATAGATTGAGTAAACGGCAGGATTCAATTAGATTCAACCTTGTTTTCACCGATTTGATCCTTCACAATAATCCTTGGCTGTCCATGGCACTCAAATAGATCGAAAAGTTGACAAAAACAAAACAGTAAAAACAACATTGCCGCTCGATTTTGCTGAATGAAAACTCGTTCTGCGCCCGCGTACAATCTTTTACTAGTCAACGATGCTTTTCAATAGGGGAATTTCTCGAGTTACACGAGGCTATTTTCTAACTTTATTTGCATTTTACTCATTAGTTTCATCGGTGACCTATCTTCAAATTTTGACCACGAATTTATTTTGCGATAAATTATATAAATTTTAATTTTTAAAAAATCTTTAGTGTGGAAATTTCCCAATAAAATTTTCGCTTTTAAAAACATCACACACTACAGAATGTTTTTAAACTTTCACCACAGTTGCAGAGCATCATTCCCTATTGATATATGAAATAAAAAGATAGGTCACCGACATAGTTTTTGAGATAGCGGCACATTTATGGGTTAACTTGGAAGGCTTTATGCTGTCGTCATGTTGCCATGGGAACATTCACGTTGTCGAAATCTGGTTCGAAATATTCCTTAGGTGACCAATATTGCCACCAAGTCGAAAAGAATTCGGTTTCTGCACGAATAAGCCTGTTTCACGGAATTATTGCTTAAACAAGAATAACTGTAGAGAGCCACCTTAACTTGTAAATAGTATGGCTACTTTTACGTAATTTCAAGTTTTTCAGGTCGCTGGCCACGCCCATGCACCTGCCATTTGGAAATTTTAATAAATCATTCATTCAGTATTCAATTAACCCTTAGTGTATACCTCAAAGGTAAAGTACAACCGCTTCTGATCTGCCACACAGTGCGCATACACGGTGCCTTAAAAGGTCTTAAAACTGTTTATTCCACCGATAAACAACTTTTTTTATTGATATACCGCCCACTTTTCGCTCTTGTCAAGTTGGCTCCACTTTGCATAAATATTACTTATATGCAATTAAATCTATCCAGTAGGAACCGTTAAGGACAATTTCCACTCCGGAATATAAGCAGCGAATTGGACCGGACTGGAAGAAACCAAAATCCGCGCATGCGCCATCAGTAGAAATGTTTTGTTCCGTTTGATCGGGCGACGTTGTTGGCCGAATAATAAAAAGTTGAAATCTTTTCAACTTTTTCGGTCCGGTCCTGTGGATTAAACCTGGCGACCAATCAAATGCCGAGTTATCTCGCATAAATTAAAATAATTGAATTAAATAATGCTTGTATAAAATTTACAAAATGGAGAATAATTCAAGAGCTTTCTTGGAGAATTCTAGGGAGAATTTACAAGGATTGGCGAGTACAACAGCTCGTCGGCAAATTTTTGTTTGGCAATATTAAATATACCCTGGGTGCCAGAGGTTCTTCCACGCTCGTAGGGGGCATAATGAGGGATACACGAGGATTCAAGCTGGTAGGCGGCGAGCGGGAAGAACTTCTGGAACACTTCTATGGCTTTTACTGTTTTAACTGTCACATGTCAATCAAACGTTAGCCAATAGGATACGTATTTATTTTTGACTGATGATGATTTGGGCGTGTTCAACCGAACATTTGAGCGATGGAAATTGCGACAGAATGTGTCAATTTCAAAACAAAAAATTAAAATTAGCGAGTTTTTATAGTAAAATAAACCGAATAATATTATATGGCCACATGGCATTAGACCGTACACCTGTTAAAAGTGTTACAAAAAAAGCGGAGACGAGTATTGTCGAGTTTGTGCTGAATTTGTTATTTTCACAGTGGATATTTTAATATATACAGTAAAAGGATCGTCGCCTCGGTAGATTAAACTTTGAAGCATTTCTTGTTCATCATATAATACAAACGAATATTTGCCGTCCAAGGCCCTGTTTATATGGAGGCGACTCAGGCGAGTTACTCTGCAATTGGCGAATAAACTTATCTAATGATTCGTATGTATTTTTGAACAATATTGTTTCGCTAATTTAAAAATAGATAAATAATTACGTCATTGAACAGACACAGTCACGTGACAAAAAAAATAGCGGGAAATAAACACGTTGGTTTTAAGCTGTTTACTCGAGGTTTAACGTTCAGAAATAGGTTTATATTTGGTATATTGAAAAGTGATATAGGCCAAAGAAGTAAGTTCATGTTGTTTATCATAACTAATTTACTTTATTCAGTAGATAATTCTTGTATTTATACTTTTAGATCGAATACTACTACTACTATTATTACTACTAACTACTAAAACTGATTATTATACGATATTTGGAAATTATTTGTGGTCACTTTACAACCGGTTTCTGATTCTGGCGAGCCATAAATTCGATTTCTAGCTGACCAGGGCTTAAAGGATATTCAGAAAATGACGGAGGTAACGAAGGAAGCGTTAAACGAAGCGAAAAAGAAGCGGAGATGTGCAAAATCGAGTGTTACAAGGGCAGGAAATGGCTTGGATTATTTATTGAAAAATGAGAGACCTATACCGGAAGTTGAGGAATCACTCGCTAATTTGGAAGACTTATACAAGAAATTGGTTGAAAAACACGACGAATATATTCAGTTGGTGGATGGCGATGAAGAATTTGCAACTGAGGAAGAATGGATTGAAGACTGTCAACAGAGGTTTATGCAGATAAGGATTAGAACAAAGGATTATTTAAAGGTCAAGTCACAAGGTCAGTTTGAAAATGAAACAAACCCAGAAACAGGTTTAGTGCCCAATCAAACCCAGACAACT